GCAGGCTGACGTTTCCAATAACTGGTGGTCTTTTCCCGGCTGCCCACAGGCAAAGGGCCAAGACAGGCAATTCCAGATACAACTGGCACTTCAGGCTGGGTTTCCACTCACTTCTCTCGTTGATCATGGACTCTCTGGGGTTGCACTCCATAGCAGGATAATCACCACCCACGTGCTCTGCCTCACACGCTGCTTTCTGGAAACCCAGGCTAAGGTAGAATAAGTGGAAGCCCTGGACCCACCCCCAAAAAAGCGCGCCTACAACCAGAAACCATAGCCTGGGGTTTCAGTGGGTTTGTGGCTCCCCTAAAGCCCAGTTTAAAAACCTCAGCCTTAAGGAGAAGGCAGAAGTTACGGTTTCTAAGTAGAAGCAGATTTTCTTTTCTTATCCGGGGAGAGCCCGCCACTTCCATCCTGGGGTGCTTGGGAGTTGGGCGTGGGGCAGGGAGCGCAGCATAGCCCAGAGCAGCCCCACGACAGCCTCCAGAAGCTCGGACCTAAGCAGGGGGAGGCAGCTGAAGGACTGGAAGGGGCTGTACAGGGGATGTGGGGGTGGGGAGGGCGTTTCTCCCCGCTGCAGGACCAGCCATATCCTAGTCCCTGCTGACGTGGTCTGTTCCCGAAAGGTCCTTTGCATCTTAGCAAGAAGCATCAGGATTGCTCAGGAAGATAAGCAAATGGTTAACTATGAAACCTCGTGCACTCCAGATGCCCACAGGAGGAACACTGTCTTCCCCGCCTGGGCCCTGACAGGTGTCTGTCCCACGCACATGGCTGACCCTGTCGCATCTGCTCCTGCCACCCGGGGAAAGAGCTCGCTGTCAGGACTTGGGCAGATTTCTGTAAGGCACCCAAACCGGGTATCAGAGGAGAAAAACGTTTGCTCTTTTGGTGACCTTGAAGGAACCTTGACCGTCTACCCCTCCTATCCTCTAAGGAGGAGAGGAGGAGCCCTGGGCCGCTGCCCACCCCCAACCCTGCGAGGAACACACGCTGCATTCAAGGAGCTGCAGGAAACCCCCAGAGATTGCCAAGTGCACAGCCAGGCACCAGCCTGGGACATCCAGGCTCTCACCTGACAGCCAGTCAGCCAAAAATAGCAGGGGCATCACATGCCACCCGGAGAATCCCTAGAGTAAGCAGGCAGAAGTGCTGCGGACAGACACATCGACAGGCTGGTGGCTCCTCTGAAACTCCTCTCCTCAGGGCCCCACTGCACAGGAGGCTGCCAGGCCCTGCGCTTCCAGCACCACGGGCCACGTGTTGACAGACACCAACTCTGGTGGCGCTGTCTTCTGCCTGGGTCTCCTATCCCAGTGATGCCCAGCAAACAGGTGCCAAAAACCTCAGCTTCAGGGCATGAAGCAGCCCTCCGGACATGTGCTGGACCAGAGATGATGGGTCTGGAAATTGAGACAATAAAGAAGGACAAAAGAAAATACAGTACGTCCCATTTCCCAATCTTATGAAAATGTAGGCTGTGGGCACCCCATGGAACAGGACGCCTCGCAATACAACACCAGCAACACCCTCTTTTGGTAAATAGCTCCCTGCCACCAGGACTGTGTCCCTACGCCCAACACAGGACAGAGAGAAAGCTCCCTCCCACCAGGACTGTGTCCCTGAGCTTGGCACAGGACAGGAAGCTCCCCACCACCAGGACTGTGTCCCTACACCCAGAACAGGACAGAGAGAAAGCTCCCTCCCACCAGGACTCTGTCCCTGCATGCAGCACAGGACAGAGAGAAAGCTCCCCCTCACTAGGACTGTGTCCCTGCTCTAGGTGCAGGATGGAGAGGAAGCTCCTCGCCACCGGGACTGTGTCCCCACACCCAGCACAGAACAGAGAGCCAGCTCTCCGCCACCAGGACTGTGTCCCCATGCCTGGCACAGGACAGGGAAGTGTTGGCTGCTGAGCGGTTTGCTGCCCTAGCAGATCTGGTAGGGACAGCCTAAGGCCCAGCCCTTCACCATACCCCCGTCAAGCCCTCTGCCCTGGGGAGAGCTGGCCTGACCGACTCCATGCTGTGAGGTCCACTCCGACAGATACAAATGAACACACCACAGCCTCCATGAAGAGCACCAGGAAAGTGCCTCCTCTTCCCGGTGAATCAGCAATGTGGAGGCGAGAAGGACTCTTTCCCCAGAGGTTTAGAGTTCAGGTAGAGACCACCGTGAGGAGCCCAGGGACACGTCGGGGACGTGCAGGGACAGCACTCAGGCTGTGCGGGGAGGACATGAGTCCACCAGACACTTGCGCTCCCTGTGAAGACCCCGCATGACCCCACCAGGACGCCCAGGGCAATGCTCCATGCATGTCCCCAACCAACATTCCCCAAGCAGGGAACCCTCACCTCCTGTGCTCCAGCAGAGAAACCAGGCACAGCTCCACGAGGGCCTCCTGCCTGGGCCCTCGACCCCCAGGGAAGACCCACTCTGTTTAGTGCCATTGTCCCTGGAAGGGCACCCGCTGCCCGCACACACCATCTCCAGGTGTGAACAGAAACGCCGCCAGCCCCTGAGCTCCCGCAGGGCATTCGGTACCCACACAGGGCAGTAAGCAAAAGGGTGCCAGGCCACCTAAAACCTTCTGTTTGCCAGCGCTCTGGAAGCCTGTCCACACGTCTGTCCAGACAGAGGAAGGGACCACAGACACCGTGCGGCAGGCCCAGCAGGACCGCGTCCCAGCCTCGCCAGCCACAATGGGAAATAAGATCACACTGGGGCAGAACGCATGGGTCCTTCTCGTAGGTGCTCCAGTCCCATGCATGCTTGAGAAAGTCGTGTGACAGCAGCAGCAGCCTCTGCTTAAGGACAATCCTGACTGTGAAGGGTAACAGAATTCCAACACGAATTCCACAAAGTCAGCGAACAAGAAAAATGGAAAAAATAAGAAAAATATCCCATTGAGAACCAGGCTACTTACTACGTAAGAAAGATAATTACATAATCTATGCAAGAAACAAAAACGGTAAATATGGAAAATGCGTAAGTGCTTTGTAATTAAAGAAATTCAACACAAAGTAACATCTCTCCTGTCAAGGAAGCACAGCGCGAACAAGAGTCAGAAACATTAAAGCTGATTCACTCGTGGGAAAATAAATCAGTCATGCGTCGCTTAACAAAGGACACGTGTTCTGAGATGGTCGTCAGGGATGTCGTCGCACTGTGCAGCGCCCTGACACGCACCTGGGCCATGGCACCGCCTACTGCACACCTGGGCCACGGCACCACCTATGATAATCTCATGGGACCCCCGTCGTACATGGGGTTGGTCCATTGTTGACCAAAACGTCACTGTTTGGCACATGACTGCAGAACGCTTTCTAGAGCGCAATATGGTAGCATTTACATAAATCCTTTAAAACTGATATGAGTTTTGGCAAGTAACACAACTCGCGGCAATTCTTATGGCAATAATTCAGCTGCCAGCACCACTTAGAGAAGGAAATTTGGAAAGATGCTGACGTCTAACCATGGGGGACTTACCAAAAAGCAATTTAGTACTCGACGGATTACTATGCAGCCATTAAAAAATGTCAAATGTCTTTATTGACCCTTACTATGCAGCCATTAAAAAATATCAAATGTCTTTATTGACCTGAAGATCTTATTGAAATATTACACAAGAAAACAGTTAGGTAACTTTAAAAACAAATGCGTTTATAATCCAATTTAGCTTCTGCATGTCTATCTACGCAGACGTCTATTTACAGGCACAGCAAAGGAATGACAGGTCGCCTGGGTAGCTGAGACGATGAGTAAGTTTTTAAAAAATTTTTCCCTTTTTAGGCCGGCCCGTGGCTCACTCGGTAGAGTGTGGTGCTGATAACGCCAAGGCCACGGGTTCGGATCCTATATAGGGATGGCCGGTTCGCTCACTGGATGAGCGTGGTGCTGACAACACCAAGCCAAGGGTTGAGATCCCCTTACCTGTCATCTTAAAAAAAAAAAATTTCCCTTTTATTTTCATTTCCCGAGGTTGCTACAATGTAAATACACCGCTCATGTAACTCGTGGAGCCACGAAGCTCCACTTTCCCCGGCTCCTCCAGAAGGTGCGCATGCAGGGAAGGCAGAAATAGCGGGGTCTGAGGGTACTTCCATTACTGCATGAAGAATTTAAAAGGAAAGATATCTAAATAGGATTTGATTGTTCACCCATGTACCTGAAGGAAAAAACCAAGTTCTGCGTGGTTCCTAGTGGGAAGAGGGGTCACTGAACCCCTGAACCAAAACAAGAACCACATGAGAACGGGCACGAGTCGGCAATTTTTCTGCTGAATTAATCTCATTGCTGTTTTCAGGATTCTATTGCAATACTTACTGCATAAAAAGATACAATAAAAAATACCCAGTGAGAAAAACATAATAGGAAATACATCAAAATGTGTCACAACGACCCCAAAGGATTTTCTACACATACATTGCAAATTAGAACATCCAAAGTCTTTCATTCTCCAGCTCGATCAGACCATGAGGCCGAAGCGTCTGTAAAACGTCCCCGTGGGCACCTCTGGGACGTGGCCTCAGACGGTGTATCTTCTCTCCCCTTCGTGTTTAGCCTTGTGGTACTTGAGGTAATCATTGTGGAGCTCCTTGAAGACGTCCCGGACGCCCGGTGGCAGCGAGGCCCGCAGGAACTGGACGTCATGCTCAATGCAGAGGTCCAGGATGAGGTAGATGCCCTCCTGCAGCAGGCCGCGCACAGCTGGGTACAGGGTCACCTGCGAAGGAAGGCAGACCTCTGTGAGGGCACCGGGGGACCTCCCACCACGGATGTCCTCGGGAGACTGACGAGGAACTTAGACTTCTGCCTCCAAGTCAACGACAGACAGAATGCAACACTGCACCTAACAAGTGAATGAACACTCAAATT